CAAGCCATGGACTGGCCTTGAGATTGAGGATTGCGATGATGGACGATACCCCAACCAGCGCTGGCTCTGCACTGTACCCCAGCCACGGGATCAAGCCTTCGTCGTCTGGCTTGACCTTTATGTCGAGCTCCTCAGATTCAGACGCGGCTCCCTCCTCCTCCACCCCCCCCCCGCACATAGGGTCAGCTCACCTACGTCCGACCCGATCCGATCACCAGCCCCGCTACTACACCTGAGAGGTTCCCTGAGCCTGAAGACAAGGGCGTGCAGATGGCTCAGGGCTACGCCTCCGCCTCGACCGAGACGACGTCTTCACCCAGCAATGCCACTATTACTCCTCACCAAGACCTGTCCTTCAAGGGCTCAGTGACCGCAAATGGCGATGACGCTGACATGGTGGACGTAGTTGTGGACTCTGCTTTCGAGGACGAAGGCCTGCTAGAGTTTTTGAAGAGAAAGGAAGAACTGGCTCTTGGATATAGGAGAGGTGGTTTCGCACCATTATCCTGTCATGATAGGTTCGGTCCTGAGAACCAGTACTTTGTGCTGTGGAAGTTGGGACACGGGACGACCTCAACTGTTTGGCTCTGCAGAGATACCAAGTCTTGCGCCGCGTCAGCACCCTGCCCGCGTCAAAGACTTCGGCGCTGCACACTCGCAAGGGTCCCGCGTCATCGACTTCCTCTCTTCCACCACCGTGCTCGACATGCATCATGTATGGGAAATCGATGAGCTCGTTCGGCACATTCTCAACCAGCTCGACAAACAAGATCTGGCTCGAGCGACGCGTGTATGCAGGGCATTTGCGCAGCTCACTCGACCTCTGCTCTGGGAGGACCCATTATGGCGTCAACTGCAACACCTCCTACAGCCGGATGTCGACGGCAACTACCCTGTATCCGTGTCCCACTCATCAAGTTTGATTACCTCACTGATGCGTTGTAGTCTAAATGCTTCTTGAGGAATAAGCGCTATGTGAAGGACATAGCAGTGTGCTTGAGCTCTAACTCAGAAGACGCTCTCGCAATGACGACAGATATGATTCTTCTGCGCGGATGGGATCCGATCCCATTCTCCATGCTTCGTTCAGTCAACTTGACGGGCTCATCGTGTGTCCATCTGGTGGCTGTCGAGTACATTGTACATGCGGGACTCGAACAACTTTCGGTGGAGATGACCGACGAAACGTCTCGCCCCTCAGCCTTTGCGAACACAGCCCTCATGCAGCAGCGCGCCCACTATACGCTGTCCTTTCTCAAGACTCTGTCGACTGTGGCCCAGAATCTGAAATTGCTGAGTTGGAACTGCTCTGGATGGATCGAGGATGAATGCCCGGAAGTTGTGCATGGGCTGGTCGAGACGATTCGCTCGCTGTCGCACTTGGAAACCGCTGTTCTTACCGACATATGTGATCTGGTATTGCTCCACGCGTTATCCGAGCAGCCAAAGTTGAAGAACCTTACTGTCAAAGGCTGGTCTCGGTCTGAGGCTACGCCTTTCCTAGCTCTAGGTGACCTCGTTCTAAGCCGGCTGGTGTGTCTGGACGTATGGTGTTCTTGTGACTCGCTCATACAACTTCTATCTACGTGTAGCAAGTGGAAGCTTGAATCATTGACTTATCGCCTTGTGGACGATGTACCAGAACCCGAAGATGATCTCCTGTTCCTGTTCATCACCGTCGGCAGATCATTCTCGAGACTCGAAAACTTGTCGCTTAATCTTCTCTGGTCTCCATCTCGAGTTGGGGGTAGCGCTCTGAAGCAGCTAACGGCTCTCCCTCATCTCCACTACCTCGAATGCCGCGTGCATGCTACGAACGACGATGAGATGAACGATGCCCTTCTCGCAGCTCTTGTATTGAACTGCCCAGAGCTGGAAGTTGTGGTACTTCATTGGGTCCATCTGCAGGCTGTAACGATGAGCGAAGCGGCAGCTTGGTCGACATCGATCCCTTGTGCCAGACTCTCACTCAGTAGTCTGCAACCATTCGCGAAGCTCATCCACTTGAGGCAGCTGTCGTTTCATTCTGTCTCGCCGCAATTCACGGCAGCTCTTGATGTGACTCGGCCTTCCGACAAGCCGTCCTACATTCCCAGCGGCTCTGAACCCCGCGATGGCTTTTTGCAGCTGGACATATATCTGCCTAGAATCCTGGACCGTGGCCAGATACTGGATCTGAAATCTGCACTAATGGCCCAGGATACTTGGCACGAGGTGGACGAGATGCAGGAGGGACGAGAAGTCTGCGACTTCTTGACAGCTTTGTGGCCGCGTAAGCGGGTCATCCTGCGTATTCATGAAGGCTTCAGCGCGATATGGATGGCAGCAGAGCAACTCCTTCGACGGGAGGCTGCGGACGGTATGACGAAGTGACTGTAAGCACGCTCCTCTTCCTTTTCTGGGACAGCAGTGCTTCAGAAGTACACTGTATGCAATTAGCCGGATGTCGACATTATTAATGACATGATGTAGTAAGAACCAGAAACGGTGTGGTGAGGGGATAGGTGCAAGCCTCGTTTCAATCGAGTATATATCGACACCCCATCTCCACTAAACCCTCGCCAATGCCTACCACGGTACGGTACCAGAGCGAATGCTGAAGGGTCTGCATTATGTATCGAGGAAAGATCACTTTCTCGGGCTATATAGCATATGACAGCAGGACGCGCAAGCCCTCACTATGGAACCAAAAGGGTTTTGCTGACAGTTAGTTCCCTACCTTCTGCAAGCAATTAACCATGTGACTCTAAGCTCGCAGGAATCTCGGCCAATTTGCAAACATTTCGAATATACATCTGAAGCAATATTTGCATTGTATTTGAACATCATCGGCATCAGCTTGGATCTTCTTAGGATACAAAAGTTTCTTCAACGTCCAGCACACCAGAAAAATCAGCCCAATCACGTCACGGAGAAGCCCGATAGGCCCTAAGGATGAGGAAAACATACAGTGCTAAGGTTGAGGGAAGAGGAAAGTTAACGAGACGATGTAGTCGTTAGTACGGTAGGGTGTTGAGAGGTGTTGAGGTACGGTAGCAGAACATGGATGCTGCATCTATAGCAGACTAACGATTACATATCGAGTTTCGAAGGATTGTGTGAATTTCCATTTTGCCGAAAGGCGAATCAGATCGAGTAGTCGTGTATTTGAAATGAACGAAGGCCGAAACTGGCTGAACCGACGATAACCACAGGCGAACCAGCCAGCCATGATGCTTTTCTCGGTGGATTAGTGCCATGCTTCGCTGAGCTCCCTGTCAAGCTCATCGATTGGCATGCTTTCGGGTCCCATCATCCAATCCTCTCCAGAATCCCATCTTGTCTCACCAGCATAGGTGACCGGTTCGATGAAGGTTTGCGCATTCATCATTGCGGTTTGCTTGTATGAGATGCAGTCTTCTTGCGCGATCTGGGGCTCGAAGGCAGGTCCAACCATTGTCATAGTTGGGAAGAAGCCAACATTGACGTCCAACACAGGTGAAGACGCGTACGAGTCCATCGCACCTTTCGTCGACTCTTGTAAGAGCATTGCCTTGAAGCCTTGACTGAGGATGCCGGTGGTGGGACTAAGCGGCACAGTGGCAGGGATGAGCGGAGAAGAGGGAGAAAGAGGCGTTGATGGGGGACTGGAACCATCTGAGGTAGCATCGGGAGAGATGCCGCGAGATGGCATAGCGAGGTTTTCGACGAAGTGGGAGCGAAGACGAGGGATTGAGGAGGAGAGCGGTGGCGGTGGTGTGATGACAGGAGATACGGATCCAGTGTGGGAGCTGAAGGTTTCGAAGAAATCCTCGGATTCTTCAGTTTTCACAGGTCCAGGAGCATCGACGTTGTCAACATCAAGCTCGAAGTCATCTGGGAGCTCGTTGTCGTCATCAAGCTCCATGTCGCCGTGTGCAGTCGGCTGTGAGACTGCGCTCGGTGCCACCTGAGACCGGCCAGCGAAAAGGGGTAGATTGAGCGAGTACGTTGGTACCTTGCCTTCACCCTGGGGGTCGTGGCGGAGGACTAGGTGTGGTGGGGAAGTACGTCGGAGGTGAGCACGAATGCAGGTGCTCAGCGCGTTGGCCTTGTGGGGAATGAGCCTAGCCATATCGTACGTTGTCATAGTGTGGGATGGGTCCTAAACCGTTGGTCAGCAATGAACTTGTGACGCATATATATGATCATGCACACCTTTTGGTTGGCCAGAGTGGACACAATGGCCATGAGAATGTCATTGTGCTCGTCCTCCTTGCTGATGACCAGATCGTGCAGAAGAGGTTTGGCAATGGGAGATGGTGGGACAGGTGAGGGTGCTGGGGGTGCATGTATCTCCCTGGAAGAAGAGGCTCGCCTAATCGGAGTTGACGGTGCTGAATCGGACGAGACTGACTTCCGACCGCTGGAGCGAGTGTAGTAAGGCATTGCTCATGGATTGACAGGGGTGTGCGAGTCGGCGACGAGAGCGGATAGGAGAGAGATTAGGCAGGGTCGTGTCAGAAGGAAAGTGAGGGGGATAAGATGGAAACTTGGTCGACGTGATAAAGCAAGGGGGGAGAAGGAGGAGAGAATGTGTGTGGCGAGGGGAGTTAAAGGAAGTTGTAAGGGGGTGATGGAGGGGAGGAAGGGTGAATGGGGGGTGTAGCAACGGGTGTCGTGTTCGAAGGAAGGGAAGTTAATCCCAGCCAGACGGGGAACGAGCGAACACACATGGCCCGCGTACGACAGATCTCCTGAGCGAACGGGACCTGAGATTGCCTCAATCATTTTGTTCCCGTAATCACACTTTTGCTTCCATCTCATACAATTTATTGCTCCCGTATCTCTTCTGACCCACTTGAAAAGCCTCCCATGTCCCCCCCGTTCCCGCCGCGCATACAGACCTCCTCACTCCTGACTTTCGACCCGGCTTCGGAGGACCCCGGAAGTGCGCAGCGTTCTCCACTAAAATCCCTTCTCTTGATGACGTGGCGTGTCCCTTGCATCGGGTCGTAACCACGCCTGGACTTTAATTAGTCACCCCAATTGACTGAACGTTAGAGATAAATTTGATAATTGAGTTTACCATATCGCCAAACCACGCTGCAGCCAACAGGTATGCAGGTGGTCTTTTTGCTGGCCTTTAACAAAAGTCATTACCCTGCAGAGAATGGATTGCGGTTCAGGATGGCTTTTCCTTTTCGAAACTTCCTCCTGACATCATATTGAGACTGTTTGATCGGCCCCAGTGCCGCGTCAGTCCGGGTACATGCCGGGGTCCTCGACCCACCACGCGATCTTGGACAATGAGATATGGCTCGCAATCCCGGAAGGCGAGGCGAGTGGGGTGTGTTGTCACTGACAGCTGTTGGCCAGTCCCGTTCATCGCGCTAGCACCGCTCCGCAACGTCGACTAGGACTCTCCCTTTCAACGCCCAGCGAATTCAGGTTCATGACACTGACGCACGGGCCATGGGCGTTTGAAAGAAGGATTCTTTCGGTGCCCCTCACCCGGTCAGGCACCGCGTAAGATAGAACGCCAGTGACGTCCTGGAACGTTGCCTTGTCCCGAGTTGACGTTATCACTGGCGGTAGCCACATTTCTGATCACACAGGAAAACTTAAACAAGGAAACCCGAACATCTGGGTCATCAGACGTGGGCTGTTTCCCCACTCCCTTTTGTTATTGTCTGCTAGCGCTCCAGATTCATATATCCCCTTGCGACGCGGAACACAGATATGGGTAACATCTTGTGATCGCACTGATGGGTCAGGGATCGCCCGAGGTAATTCCTCCGATGACCCCTTTCGGGCGCATTTTGCCTACAATGACCCCAAGCCTGCCCTAAGTAACCAAATAAGGAAAGCAGTGGCTGTGGCAATAGAAGCACGTGCCTC